AGGCAGGAGAGGACAGAGCTGTGGGTGACCCCTTGGCACACACAGCTCTGGCCTTTGGCAGCACAGAGGTGCTGTGGTGTGAGCTGGACAGCAGCTGCAGGGACTGAGCCTTGCACCACTCAAATCCATAGGACTCCAGACAAATGATAACTTGGTGACAGCCACACTGGGAATGAGGAGTTGTCCTTATCCCTTTAAAGCAGGATACTGGGAGTGTGAAAAATGCCAATCACTTGTTTTTACAATTTTAAAAGTTTAATAGTAATAAAATGGTTATATAAATAGTAATACAATTAGAGTAACAATAATTTGGACAAATTGAATTAGGACAAAATGAGACAATAGAGACAAAGAGTTACAGACATCCAGGTACCTTTTCTGGGACGCACGAGCCTGAGAAAGGACCCCCATTAACAGAGGATTAACCCTTAAAAACAACAGCCTGTTGCATATTCATACATTTCATATGTGATGCATAAATTCCATTCAAATACAGGATTCTATCTGGTCAGTGTTAGCTTCTTCCTTTTAATCCTAACAGCACCCTTGAGGTGGGAAGAAGTTTGTTTCTTTAACAAAAGGACAATAAATTCTCTTTTTCTGAAAGATTTAGGTGTCCTGGGGCTGCTATCTGGTGTGAGTCTCTCATTCCTTTCTTAAAAAATCTCACTAACATAGTTCTTACTTTAACTACAAAAGTTACCTTTTAACTACAGGAGTACGTTTATCATATTATTAAAATGTTAATACAGCACTACTGATCAATACATCAAAATACATATGGTAAATATCTGCTAGAGCCATACAATATACACTTTTCACAGGGAGCCGTCCTTCCACAAGGACACATTGCTGGCTCATGTTCAGTTTGTCCACCAGGACCCACAGATCCTTTCCTGCAAAGCTGCTGTCCAGGTCAGCCATCAGCCACCAGTGCATGGGGTTATCCCTCACCAGGGACAAGATTTTGGGCTTCCCTGAGCTGAACTGCACAAGCTGCTGCTGGCCAACCCCAGAGAGTCACGTATCAGTCAGCAGTGACCTTGTGAGGGTGTTCTGCCCTGTCAGGGAGATGGGTGATGGAGCTGGGAGCAGAGCTGGAGGCAGCCCTGAGCCCTGGGGTGCGCTGGCACTTCCTGACCTCCAGCTGGAATTCACCTCGTGCCTCTCTGTGCTCGCTGCCCTCCAGCCCATGTCAGTTCACCTCACTGCCTGCTCATCCACCCAAACTTCACTGTGCTTTTAGGAATTTGCAACTCTTTGTTCTTAGGATCAGGCAGTGAGATGCAAAAGCCGTGCTCCTTCTCTGTCCACCTGTCCTCTTCTCCTTCCTGACACTTCTAGCCAGCTTGTCTGATACACTGAATTCCTGCAGACTTCATCCTGGGCAGAGTAGGAAGACACTATCAATACTTGAAAAAGGAAATAAAATAAACACTTCTTCACCTTCTTTAACTCGGTCTAGCAGCAGGAGAAAGCCCCTAGATCATAGGAAAGAAAATGTGTTTTATTGAAGGTATGTTTTGATTTACATTGTGTATATTTGTCACAGCTGATGGTGGAAGTTGAAATAATGATTTAGTAGTATCTTATATTCTTTAAACTTTTTGTATCTTATTAAGTTTGCTGCTCTTTGTCTACTAATGCCGCAATATTCTTTCTGTTGCTGTTTTTGAAGTGCTGCATTAAGTAGGTTGGTATTGGGAAAAGGGATGGGGAGAAGACTTGGAAAAATGAGACTATGTCATCATCCCTTGGTAATTTAATGGTGTAGAGTAGGGTTTAGCAGCAGTACTTTAGTACTCAAACAGGCCCCTCTGCTTAATCAATGTTTGTGAGGTTTACTGGGCTCTTCCAGTGCTCTGACAGCCTTTGTCATTTATTCTTTAGAATTACTTTTCCTTCTATTTCTAGCAGCAGGCTGCCACCCTCTGGTGAAATTTCTTAGCTGTTGTGTAGGGACCTGGCAGATTTTCAGAACAGAGGAGCCCTTTAAAATTTGAAAATCTTAGATTGAATAAATACTATTTTTTTTGTTAGACAAATGTAGCTACTTGTACAAGGAATCAGTAATGTGAAGGATTTATGTCAAGTTTCTTTTTCTCCCTCTTTCCTTTCCCTGTAACATTTGTAGAGAATGTAAAGGTGGAATTGATTTCTTGACAGATTTTCTTCTTATCTGCCGACACTGAAATACCTTGTTCTGTGGGAAGATCACTGAACACCAGTGTGTTACCATCAGTTAATTATTATTCTGTTAATTACATTTTTGTCCATGTTCAGAAACCATTGCTGAAACTGCATAAAGTGCATTTTATATCATAGTGTTTGTGTGCCACTGACACATCCACCTGTCTGTGTTAAACCATGCCAAAGATGCAAGGTGTGGAAATTATTATTATTACCACAAATGCCAGCTGAAGAATGATAGCTGAAAATAGTGGAGGGTCGTTGAGCATAGGTTTTTTTCTCTTAAGTGACAGGCATCTTATCAATTTGAGGTGATCTAGGAAATTACTGCTTTTCTCTAAAAATAAAATCTACAGGAAATTGTTAAAATTAATTTGATGCTTCCCTGCTGTAATGCAAAATTGTCAGTGTAGTTTAAGTCACAGATGAAGTTTTTTTAAGCTTCTAAGCTGGCTGAATTTGCCTGGAGGATGGTGCAAACCTAAGCAGTTGATAAAATCGTTTGGAGATTATTTATTAAGAGTGAGGATAGAGGTAGTTTCTTCAAAAGTAGTGCTGCAGTTATTTCTGTGAATCTATTTCTGTGAATCTATGGGTGCTGACTGAAGAAAGAGTTTCTAAGTCTGGATGCACAGCCAGAGGAAGGAGTGAGAAGGCAAGAGAGTTTTTAAGGCTCTGGAAGGATAAGATCAAGACTGTATGGACTTAGGACTTTACTATATTTTTTCAAGGCTTTCCCATTATAGTAGGAGTTCAGTAGCAGACTTAAATTTGGTGAAACTCTTACACAAATACCTGTATAGAATTCATGGGCTTAGAGAGCATGAAGGTTCCTGTTGTCCATTGCATCAACCCTGATTGTATAAGGAATTGTTTGCATTCTCTGTGCTTCCTTTTAAACCTTACCAGTGAATTAGTGTAGAAAAATCTACTATACAACATTGTTTGTTCTTTCAATCTGTAGTTAAGCTACAGATTGAAATCAGCTTTTCTGCTGATGTTGACATTGCTGAAATGATGTAACCAGTACAGCAGGATATAAACCAGTGATTCATAAAAATGTAATGATTTTTTTCTGTTATCTGTTGTATTTACTAACATTGCATGGGGTTATGAGTTGTTTACGGTACTGTAAGGCAGGGGAGTCTGTCCTTAAGGGAATGTTGATATTTGCTAGGAAATGCACTCCTTAGAAACATCTCCAGAAGCCAGGAATAGAAAGATGCTTGGTCATCAGCAGATTTCAGATTTTGTGTTCTGTTTAGTCTTTTGTTTTTATTCTGCTTTGAAGCGTGTTACAGAATTTCTGTTTGCAAATATTGTTCTTCAGCAAAAGCCTCCCCTGGTTCTGCTCTGCCCCCTCTCTTCACATAGTTTGTCTCATGAGCAGAGTGATGCTAACAAAACATTAACTGCCAGGAGATACAGCAGGTGAAAAGAACTCAGACTTGATGCTGATTGTGTAGTGGACTTGGGAGGATGGTAGGAGGGCTGAGAGATTGGGAATTAATTGAGTTCTGTGTAGTATTTTCTTCTACAAGTCTGTGCCATTTCCCAAAGTGTTGGATTTTGAACTTTGCAAATCAGCAGCGATTCATTTCCTGTAAGCTCTGTAGGTTTGGAAAAAGGAGCACTAGAGGAAGTGTCTAGAGAAGAGTCACAAAGGTGCTTGGTTATAATCTCAGAACATTTTGACATGAGCAACCATGTAATAAAGGAAACACGTGCAGGTGTTCTGTAAGTTTATTTAATTTATTTTGAATCCCAATAGCAAATATACACTAAATAGATATCTAAAATATCCATTTTATACAGTACTGTCAGAATTGAGAGTTCTGTGTGCTGCCCTGCACAGGAAGGCAGGGCAGGCAAGTTCCAGCTGCTTGGTTTTGGCAATTGTAAGGGAATTCCATTAAGGAGGGATCCTTAACCCGTGTGATGTCAAAATATAAAGAGGAAAAGAATAAAATGAGAAACACGATTACAGTTGTTATAGATAAAAGAAAAATGTTTGTGCTGGCCTAAAGGGAGTTTAATAGTCATTCCTATTAAGCTTGAAGCATATCATAAATCTTGAATCCTACTTTTAATGTTCAGACTGCATCCAATTCTATCAATAGCAAAACATTGAGGGACATTTTCATCTAAAAGTTGAAAGGAAAAATTGCCAACAGCTTTTGAAGACTTTTCCTATGTTCTCCATATGAAACTTGTCTTTATCTCACTTAAAAGATTGTAAGAATATATTCTAGCTCAGAGACAACTACCTGACAATATTGTAGCTTCTTATTGCATCTTTGCTCATTATCAAAAATGGCACAAGGAATTGCCCTTGAAGTCCAAGGGCAAGGTACAAAGGGTACAAAAATTACAAGGTAATTTTTGGTTTTGCAACTTTTCTTACAACACTTTCTGGGAGAGAACCTAGGTCTCTGTTTCCTAACTATGGATAAAGTCACTTCCACATGATTTTTAGGATTTATTTGAAGGAAAGAATATGTCTAAACAATGTGATTTAAGGCAGGCATTTAACATCTATAATAGGAAACATCAAATACAGTTTCCAGTTCCACTTCTAAGAGTCCTTCTGTAAGCTATAAAGACTTTTGTTTAAATTATTCAAATGTAGGTTGAACATTGTCAAATACTACCACGGATCCTACTTAACATATTGTTTCTAATTAATTACCTCTGAAATAGCAAATACTTTGTAAACGGTTAAATAGCGTAAAATCAGCATTTTCCTGCAAATTTCAAGTATTGTAAAACTGATTTGGACAAGTTGCTTTTTGAAATTGCCAACTTGGTTCTCACTTGAGGAAATTGCCAAGCTGGACACTGTTCCTGGCTAAGATGCAGCGGAAGGTGGAAGGCTGCACCTCCCAGTACTTGACGGGGTTGTTGAAGAGGCTGATGCCGCTGTACAGGGCTTTCTTCTTCCTCCGTCCTGTGGGACAGAAATCATTCACTCCCAGCTTGGCAATGTGGTTGGAATGGAGGAAAACCACCTGTAGCAGTAGGAACAGAAAAATACAGGAGTTGAATGAAAATGGGGAAAATATTCCTTAGGTTTGCTAAAACATCAGTTCCATGTAGACCTTGAGAGTTACAAGACCTTAACACTTACATTAAATCTTTTTATAAAAAGTCTTCCTTCTGCCTTAGTCTCTCCCACAAAGAAAAGTCATATGACATTTTGTGTGTTTTTAGAAGAATTGGACTCTATTCTTACAGAATTTGGTTCTAAAATGCAATTTTATATTCTCTTGTAGTAAGAATTATAATGATGTAGTAAAAACTATAATTCTTGATTACAATGAAGAATATAATAGTATTACATTCTCATTTCTGGAAACATTTTTTTAGTGTAGCAGTTTCTTGTCCTTTTTTTTTTCCTTCCCTAGGAAGTGTTCCTGCAATTGGATTTTGTTTATTTCTTTAATAAACTTTGATGATTTCAGGCTCTCTTAGTAGGAGAGTCATGGCAAAATATATGTGTCAGTTAATTAGGCTTTTTGGTTGTGACCTAATCAGTGTGACAGTGGGAAAGCCAAACAACTCAGAACTCCCAGAGCTGTCTGATAAGTTCAGTGTCTGACCTGCAGATATTTCAGTTCAGGTAATCCAGGAGGAACCTTCTTCAGCTTGTTTTTTTCCAGGTGGATTTCGCGTATACTTGGGATGTTGGCAAAACTTCCATTTTCCACTTCTTTGATTTTATTATTGCCAAGGCCTAGCCTAGAAAGAGTACAAGGAACATTTAATTAAAGACTAATTGAGATTCACAACAGCATTGAAGAGTTTTCTTTTTTTTTTTTAAGATTGAAATACACAGGAGTAAACGCAGGGGGAGAAAGGAACTGGAATAACATGATGAAATCTTATCTTTGATAAGGAAAAATCACCATTGACCTAACATAATTTAAACCCCACTTAAAGATTGCCTTAAAGCAGTTATCAGTTATCTGATGTAAGCAAATGTTCAGTTTTGCATGCAGTTTTTGTAATTATAGTGGCAAGTATTTCAATTATAAACATCAAGCTGCTTGTGAGATTAATCATATCATTTTACCAAGTAGTACAGCTGCAGTGTAGTCACTGTAATAAGTTCTAATAAATAGCCAAATAGCAAGTCTTGTCTAGAAAGGTGGTTTTAATGTGTAGCCCATTTTTAAAATATAAAGGTTTTTTACTAAGCAGGACTACCTTCTTTCCTATTTCCAGATTTTCCTTCTAATTTTTTCTCTAGCCTCAGGTCATTCAGAATTGCTCTTTCTGCCCATCCTGCCAGCCCCTTTTTCTCCATTCTTTCCTGATTGCTTCAGAAGCTGAATTTGGTATCTAAAGGCAGTTCAGTAATTTCTGTTACCAAATCCAGTTCTGCTCAGCCATATTTTCAGAGTTCTTAACTGAGCTTTACAGAGAGAACTTCCTTCTCTCCTATTTCAGTGATACATTCCTCAGAAACACAGATTTTTCTTTAAACCTCATTGCATTTGGAAGCTGTTTTTTCCTTCAACTGCTGTATTTACAAGAGAAATTTTTTAAGAATTAGAAGAACTTAGGTTAGTTATATTTTGTTTTTATTCTATGTTTCTGTGGCAGACTGTTGGCAAAACATGTAATAACAAGACTAATGTGGGGCTTTGGAGGTGTGTTTGGGTTTTAAAGTTGGGTCTTATTTAGAGCAATTCATAACAAAACACCTACAACTTTTATTCTTTTTTCTCTCATTAACAAGAGAAGTATCAAAAATGAGATCTTGCTGGGCATGGCATTTTAGCAAATAAAAGGATTCAGCCTGGGATTTTTACCTTTGTAGGTCTTTGTAGCGGTTAAAATCCTCAACTTCAATTCCTGTGATCTTATTGTCATCTAAGTGAAGCTCCAGAAGACTGGAGGGCAAACCTGATGAAAAAAATGCAGAGTGTGAAAAAAACAAGTCAACTTATTTTTTGTTGGAACATTTCTTATGTTCCAAAAAGCTTCTTTCCTTTGTGTTTAGAATTGGGTTAGAAGAATCCAATAGAATAATCTTGGGGAGGTTGTCTGCATCAAAGAAATTGGTATTGCATATAATGGAGTACATGTAATTATATTACATCTATGTATATGTGTATAATATGTATGCATATATATGTATATATATTATATATACACATATATGTATACATTTATTGCACATATACATTTTATATATTTATTTTTATAAAAATAAATACATAAAATGTATATGTGTGATATCTATAATATGTATCACATATATATAATATATATTACATACCTATATATAAAATGATATATAATGTAATTATATTACATGTAATTACATATAAGTATGTTAATGAAGAAAATCACCAATATAATTTGGTTTAAATAATAACTTTTTTAAAAAATTAAGCCATGGAAAAACATATCCTAATTAAGAGATACAAGATTTCCAAAATTTGGTCATTTTTCTCATTTCCTTTATAACAACTTTCATGTTGATCCTGTGTTTTGTGCATTTATCTCAGAGTGTGTAGTGAAAGGCTGTGGAACAGTTTTTTGAAGTTCTGTTTGGTTTTTTTTTCCTACATGATGTAGCAGTTGTGCTGTCACAGCTGCTAGGATGTGAGTAAAAGGAAAGGTCTTGGAGTACTCTAACCAGAACTGTGCTATTTGATCGCTCTTTCCCATGCCAGAATATTTACTCTTGCATTTCCAAAATTCCAAATCCAGACTGGTGGACCAGGAGGTGGCGAATCTTTCCACAACATGGTCTTAGCGAGGGCAAGGGCAGCTCATCCCAGGCTGGGTTTGTTTCTGGCGCTGGGCTGTTCCCCGAGCCTCGGCGGGGATGGCCCCGGCACCGAGCGGGTCCCGCTGCCCTCGGGGGCTGCCGGAGCTCCGGGCTCTGCAGGGACGGGGCTGCTCCCAGCCTGCCTTTATCCTTTATCCTTTATTCCTTTATTCTATTTGCAATACAGGAGCGCTGCTCCGGGCTCTGCAGGGATGGGGCTGCTCCCAGCCTACCTTTATTCATTTATTTCATTTGCAGTACAGGAGCGCTGCTCCGGGCTTGCAGGGATGGGGCTGCTCCCAGCCTGCCTTTATTCCCCTTGCAATAAAGTTTATTTGTTTGGGCTCTGCTCCAGTTTGCGTTCCAGCCCGCAGTTCCGGGTGCCTGAGTGACAATATCCAGAGGAAGGCCACCCACCTGTCCACTGCACATTTTTAGTACCTTTTATAAGCTACGTTTTTTTAAACCTTTGTGCCATTGTAGCATTTGCAGAGAGAAGCATCTGCAAACTCAGCTTGCATTTGTGGTGAAGGAGTTCACCATGAAATCATGTTTGGTTTGGTTTGTTTATGTATCTGACACCACGTTTTGGATCTCGTGCTGTATGTCGTTATAGGAGATTTCTCTATAACAAAGACAAAACCGGAATCATTTTACATTGGGATGTTTTTTGTGCTAAGGAGCTGATATTAGGAGGGTTTTGTTTTTTGGGGTTTTTTTTGTTAGGCAGACAGAGACCTTCTGATTTTAAAGTTATCTGAACAGTTGAGGTGAGTTGGTTTTGATTATTGTTGAGGGTTTTTTAGTGTTCTCTTCTACAAGGTTTTTTTTTTTGTTCTCTTCATCTCTCCTGTATATCTATATGTACACATATATATGCACATATATATGTGTATGTATATGCATATACTTATGCATATATATGTGTGTATATATATGCATCTATATATATACACATATATGTGTGTATGTATATATATGCATATATACAGGAAGAGATTAATAAGAAGTGAGTTCTTTATCTGAATGATCAGAAATAAATACAGGGGCCAACATTGTTTCCCTGGGAGTTAGAGCACAGAACACAGTGTTTTGCTTTGTTTCCTTCCTTGTTCTTTTAGCTCGTAGTTTTGAGTGGTTGAAAATCACAAGAGTTTGGTTCAATGCCATGCTGACCTGCAGAAAAAGCAGGTGGAATGTTGTCCTGAACTCTTTTATGCTACATTTGAGTGTGTGGAGGTCAGTGATTCATCAAATTAGTGTTTTAATTTATTTTTACCTCAAATTACAAGATTGGGGTTTTTCTGTATGAAAAAGTGATTTGATTTTGTATTATGTTATGGCAAATTTAATTAAATATTAAAATTAAGTTTTACTTAGCAAAACTACATTGAACATTGTATTTGACGTGCAGTGTGACATGAAATATTAAAAATTAAATTTTACATTTTGGAGTTACATTTTAAATCCATAAAGGAATTTTGCATCCCTTATATCCCCAAATATCAGGGAGTTTATCCTTTCCCTGTGAGGATTTTTGAGAGGCTGACATGTGAAAGATGTGAAGTGACATCAAATTAGGAATTTCTTTGTATTGTTACTCCTGAGACAAGTGTGTGGACATTCTGTGAGAGGAGTGGATGTGCTGACAGGGAGAGGGTAGGAGAGGGTGTGCACTGCACTGTGTGTGTGCTGTTTGTGCATGAACTCTTCTGGGATGGGGAATTGGATATAAAGTTCAAAAAGAAAAGGCAGGAGGTATTCTGGTAGTAATGAGAATAGAAAAGAATTTATGAATTTAATAATCCTTCAGATGTTAAAGCATTTTATTAAGGAGTGTGCTGGTGTAAGTAAATTAGAAAAGGGAAAGCAGACCTACCTTTAGGAATTGAAGTTAACTTGGCCTCTGCAATTCGTATGTGGTAGATGTTCACCCCTTCAAAAGCCCCTGGCTCAATTCCATCATTGTTAAGAGGATTTGCACTCATTTCTGCCCAAGGGGGAAAAGGAAAAACATTTATGGCATAGGAATTCTGTGTAGGTTAGACTAAGTTATGAAGGGCTGATTTAAATTTATTTCTGATATTCCAAGCATTCATTAATGTTTAGCTTTGATTGTGTGTTCTGAGGGGTGTCCCAGCTCTCAGGGAATTTAGGCTGTGTTACTTGGCTTGCAGGATTATCCAAAACTTGACCTTTGCAGCAACTTCACATAGAAACTAAATTGTGGAGGGTATTCCCACAGCATGGATATCTCTTTAAGAGGAAGCTGTGCCTTGGGGAAATGTTTGAATGGAAATGATGTATAATATGTTCCATCTTTGGTAAAGACATTTTCTGTTCTGCTTAATCAGGCTTACCTAAAACATGTAGAGACTTCATTCCTTTAAATACATCCTTAGGGATTTTCTTAACCTTATTAGCATGAATTCTGAGCTCTACCAGAGTTCTGGGTAGATTTGTTGGAATCTCTGTCAGTTGGTTGTGGGACAAGTACAGTCGTCGTAGCCTCTTTGTTGGTTGAAAGGCTTTGGGATGGATCTTGTATATTTTATTGTTGTTCAAAGCCAGTGCCTAGGAGAGATGGAAAGAACAATTAGAAAGCTTTCTTTATCCAGGACTGTTATGACTATGACTTTGAAGTCATGAATTTGAAATGTAATCTAGCAATTAAGTGTTTAAACTATTTTATTTTTCCATCCTACCAAACTTCAGCACTTTGTAGATGCTTTGGGTATTTCAGTTGATTATGAAAAACAAAGAACCTGCGAGCTGGATCACTAACCTGAAGGTAGAGCTGCCAAGGTGCCAATGGATCATGAGAACTGGCAAAACAATATGCTTCTATTCAGATATTTGGTGGGATTGTATGGGGGTTATATACTTGGTTGCTATTGTTCCTTAATGCAGACAGATTCTCAAAACTCAGAATCTCATCTTTTATTTTAACATAATGCTGCAAAGTAAAAGTGAAATTTTTTTTAATCTGAGTTTCTTAGATGTTAGAATCTTTATATGACACATGAATTTATGTTTTATTTGGCTTTTCCAGCTCCTGTGAACTTCAGTTTCTCTCTTCTGTACAGTACATGAATCTTTTGGCAGCAGCTTCTACCACATTGCTGTGTGTTATCAGAGAGCTTGTAATGAGTTACTACAGACAGCAAAATACACACTATCTGAAATGATTCTGCATGTCAAATCACATCTCTGCATTTCCATACTTAAGCTATTCATTTCTGTTCCTTTTTTATTTCTTGGAGTCATCTCTTCTTAGGAATTGTGCGGGGGAAAATGTAGAGCAAACAAGAATTATGTTTTCCCAGAAAAAAATGACATTAGCTCAAGGAAATAAACAGGAAATGCTCCTTCCTAATCCAAGTTGCCATCTGTGCCTTTGCTAAGCAGACTCCAGGACTGAGCCAAGTTGTACAAAGTAAACTTTGCTCTCAGTGAAAATGTTGTTCGGCCTTGCCACAAATGAACCGAGGAGGAAAAGCAAAGCAGCTTGGTGTGCTCAGCTATCACATAATTAAGTGGTGACTCTGGTCTTTAATGTGATTGCTGATGGATTCCAGTGGCTTTCTCAGTCATTGGAGATAAGAGACTCTTAGATCTTTTACACAGAATATAAACCACAGTTTGTGCAGTTACCTTTTGCTTGCTGCTGAGACCATTCTGCACCCAGACACAAGAGAATAGGAAATGCTTTATTGCCAACTCTGAATGTATATAGTTCCTCTTTTCTCTGTCCTGTCCTAGGCCATAATAATTAACAAGCTCATTCATAAACACTTTGATCTGGTAAATTTTCAGATCTTGCTCAGAAGCCAAATATAACTGAAAGGATTTGTTTTATAGAATCACAGAATGATTTTGGGTTGGCAGGGACCTTAAATCCCATCCAGTGCCACCCCCTGCCATGGGTGGGGACACCTCCCACCATCCCAGGCTGCTCCCAGCCCTGTCCAGCCTGGCCTTAGGCATTCCAGGGATCCAGGGGCAGCCACAGCTGCTCTGGGCACCCTGTGCCAGGGCCTCAACACCCTCACAGGGGAGAATTTCTTCCTACTGTGTTAGGAATGGTCTTTTTGTTAGTTTGTGTGTCTCGTGTCTTTCTAAGGGAGAATAGAATGTACTTAATTTGCTATCAGTTATGGAACAGATTTGGGTTTTAGAGAGAAAATTTTTAAATTGTCAGTATTTGTTAGTGGAACTAGATCTGGATACTGCATCTGTGGTGACATCCAATAGAAACAAATATTCTAAAGCAGAATTAATCTACTTCCTAGCCCTCTGGGATTCTCATTTCCTTTCATCATAAAAAGGATTATTGCATACTGTAAACATCTAGATTTATCAGTTGCCAGGGATATTTGTTTCAAAGCCTGTCACCTCATGTATAATTGAGCATGGTAACAAATTAGGAGTAAAGCCCCTGACTTTTCCAGCAATTCGGTGTTTTTCTGTTTTCTGTTCAGGTCAGCTGGATTTGTAGCATTGGTTTCAGTGCTGTATGTGTTATCTGTATGTTCTGTTCTTTTGAAAATACCCTCAGAAAATGTGGTTAAATTTTTTCTGCTATTTTCCATCTAAGCAGATAAAAAGGAGAACTTGCCTTGCAGCCTTTAAGATGTAGGGAATGTTTCTCTGCATGCTAAGAACTGAAAACTCTTGAGAATCTTTTTGGTTAGATCTATTTTCTGAGTATTGTAGAAAGTAGTTCTTACAACTCAAAGTATTTGCTTCTTACTATGTGGAAGCTCTCAAATATGCAGGCATTAGACTTTTTTAATCTATGTTATTGGAGAAGGAAACAACATTTATATTTTTAAAGTATCTAATTATTTCAGATTGCTAACTAACTGGGAAACTTGGGAAATAGCAAGCTTACATAAAGTGATGTGAGTCCTTGGAGATCGTTCTCCTTGACCTCTTTGATTTTGTTGTTCTGAAGATCAATCATCCGAGTATCTGGTGGGATGTTGCGAGGAATTGATGTCAAACCTACATGAGTATGTGACATAAACAGAAACATTATGTGCTGTACTTAAGTCCAAAGAAATTAAGTGCCAAACATCAAAACACAATAAGATTGTTAATGAATATGGTGGGGAAGAAAATATGAGCAGCCATAAAGCAAAGGGTAGAAGGGAATTTTTGATAGTTGGAAAAACTAATGATGTAAGAATGTACCACAAACATGTGCACAGTTTTGGGAGGAATCGCTTCTGCCCCTGACCATGAAAGCTCAATGGGGACTGCTCACTGTGGCCTCTCTGCATCTGTGAAATAATCCTCAGAGTGTGGTTTGTCCTACAGAGCAACTGTTTAGTGTCTGGAGAAAGGATCCCTCAGGACTCCAGGGTGGTGGTTCCCTGTTGAGGAGCAGGGCTGTGGATTCAGGGGTCTCTGCTTGGTGCTCCTTTGGACCTCTGCCCTGCCCTGTCCATGGCACTGGGGCAGCTGCTGAGGGTTCATTCAGGTCATGGCAGGGCTGAGAAACCTGTTCTTGATGTGGGCAGAGGGGGGTCTCCACTGCCAATGCTTCAGTACCAGAAGTCATTAACACAAAGCAGTACCAGTACCAGAAACCATTAACACAAATCAGTACCAGAAGTCATTAACATAACACATTACAAGTGCCACAGATCATTAACATAAGTCAGTACCAGTAGCATTATTCCCCCATCCCAGTTTGCTGTTCAGTTACAAACCCACTGCAGGTCAGGCCATCCGAGATCCTGAATCAGCAGAAAAGGCTCAACAGGGACAGTAACTTTCTTTTGAGTGGAAATGCTGATGCATGAAATGCTAAATGCTGTCCAATTTATTAACAATTATTCTATAATTAATAGATTGCAGTTATCTAAAGCTGAAGTCTTTTAATGTGGGAATTTTCTATGAATGAACTCATGTGAAGTGGTTTGAAATCTGTAGACCAGATACATTAACCACAGTTTGCTGCTGTCAGCAGAAGTTTCTGATTCCTTAATACTAACACGTTTTTAAAACCCCTGCAATTTATGTATGGAGACTGTTTCTAAGACATGAGAGTCCAGGATGAAGCTCAGGAAGGTGGCAGGGCTGTGATGAGAACAAATGTCATTGTCACTGTGCTGGTGGTGGGAGCACAGTCCTTTGGTTGCCTTGAATGATAGGAAAACTTCAGTGAGCACTAATTGAAATTGCCACAATTAATAATGAACTCACTTTTAGGGACTGGGATGTACCTGCAGCACTGACAGGAGCACATTTGCCTTTGGCTAAATGGTTACCAGGGGTGCTCACTTTGGTGGAAGTTCAGCTGAGGGAATACTTTTCATCCCATTTATGTGCCCACATAATAATTCATCCTTTAAAAGACAAATCCTCCAAAGGAGAATCCAGTAGAGGACAGACACAAATTCATTCTTACCTAGGTCAGAGCAATGGACAACTCTCACATAGCACTGGCATCCAAAGGGGCACGTTGGGAACAGATCAAAAGGAATCAGTGGTAGAATGGGTTCAGTGGTTGGAAATAGAGAATTGTCGTCATCGTCATCATCATCATCGTCTTCCATATCTTGGAGCATCATGTTCTTCAGTGTAAAATATGAAGGACCAGTGAGAGATTTGGCAGAGCACAAAGCCAAGAAGAGGAGGAGTGTGTATTCTTTCATATCTTCTTAATCAGGATAACCAATCTTGGAAAGTGAACAGACGAACAAAAAAAACAAACACCAGAATCAGTGAATAGGGAACAGCAAATGAAGTTATTGAACTGCTTACTTCACTCACTGCCACACCATCTACTCCTGAAAAAGAGCCTGTTGTGAACATTGTGGTTTAATTAGTATATGAAGGATATAAAAATAATCTTTTAATTATAAATTAACACTATAAAATAACACATAATATTAACTTAAATTCATTAGGCATTAATATAATATGAAATTATTTTAGTTTAGTTCACAAATAATATCATCATTTGCTTCAAGCTTTGAAGTGGAATTTTTGTAGTAAACTTTACCAGAACTTGTAATATGATTTACTTTATTTATTCTCAATGAAAAATTATTTTTAGTGGGATACCTTGGCATATGTGCATTGCTTATAAAATTGGGAAGTAATTGATTAGCAGTGCATAAAATGCACTCAGTGGGATACTTCCTAAACACTCAATATTCCACTACCTAAACACTGTAATTAAACTCTTCCTAGTTTTATCTGAAGTTTTCAGTCCTGAGCTTTTCCCATGTTCCAGTCATTTGTTTGTTATTGCCATAGATAGAAGTTCACCTCTGCATGCAAACACATCTCACAGAGCTATAGAATCCCAGAGCACTTAGGTTTGGAAGGGACCTTAAAGCTCATCTCATTGCACCCCTGCCATGGCAGGGACACCTTCCACCATCCCAGGGTGCTCCCAGCCCTGTCCAGCTCAGCCTTGGGCACTGCCAGGGATCCAGGGGCAGCCACAGCTGCTCTGGCAACCTGTGCCAGGGCCTGCCCACCCTGCCAGGGAAGGATTTCTTCCCAATATCTAGTCTAAACCTATTCCCTGACAGTGTGAAGCCATTCCCCCTGTCCTGTCACTCCAGGCTCTTGTAAAAAGTGTCTCTCTGTCTTTCTTGTTGGCTTATTCAGGCACTGAAAGACCACAATTCAGTCACCCAAAACTTCTCTTTTTCAGTCTGAACAACCCAATTCTCTCTTGATTTCTGTTTGAGGAGGGCTCTTTTCTCTGAGAAGGACTTGCCTATTAGAAATCCATGTCAGCGGAAATCAGTGACTTAATTTACATCCAGAAGAAAAGCTATCTTGTAGTTTTGTGTGTGAATTTTTCAACATAGGTTGGGGCTTTTCTGTTTGTTGGGTTTTTTTTTTCCTTGCTCCTACAGAACAAGGTAGAGAGGAGAATGGAGATGGTAAGAATTGCCACAGATGCAACAAACTCTGAGAAAATGTTGTAGATTCAGCCCTCAGCTTCATGTTGTTTCCCTTCAACTCCCAATTCCAGAAGTCATTTGGAAGCAAAAAATGTTTTCTACAAACCAAGAGGGGCTGCAGGAAATTTTATTGTGCAGGAAATTTTATTGTGCATGTCCTGTTTATAAAAATGTTTCTATTTAGACTATTATAGGCCTCTTTAAGGAAATACTAAAAGGGTGTCAGTTCTTGTTTGATCACCTAATTAAATGCTTGCTGATCTGTTTGGAGGTGAAAAATGCCTTTATGTTGGCATTTTGTCATTGGTCCTCCACTGCAGGAAAAGGAGTGCTCTGCTTTGACTTGGCTTATTCAAAATGAGGTTTTGTTTATACAACTTTTGTCTGTGCAGAGTCATTTTGATGTTTATTAGAGGGGACCCATAACAGCACTAAATGCAAATATCCTGCCTACCTTGCTGCTCCTATATCTGTGTCTGTTTCAGGGAGTTTAAAAAGAAGAAAGCTTACAGTGTTCAGATAACATAAAAAGAATGCAGTGAACTTTTTTCCCCCAAATATATGCCTGAAATCAGAATCACAAAGTACTTTGTATCTTGTAGGTAAACAGCATATAGCTAAATTTTATATTTCCCATAATATGCCCATTCAGGTAGTGTATGTACTTTTACTGATGGTAAAAGATTCTTTCTCTTGAATCTTCACATGTATTTTTCCCATATATTTTCCTTTGTATTCATAGTAATGTTTTCTTGCAATGCTCCTAGAAAGAATTTTGTGGTTGTTCTTGCAATCCCTTACAACGTCTGTCCTTGAAAGACTCTTTGGATATAAACAGTGCTGGGAAGAAGGTGTGGAACCTCTGTTTGTTTTTTTGGAGAGAATTGTTGTCATCTCTGGCTGTACACCTTTACAATATTTGGCCTTTTCAGTCTTCTATTTCAGCTTCAGAAAAAGGCCAAAATCTTCTCTACTTTAGTCATACAATCAGTAAGGAGATGAGGAGCTGGAAGCCTTTCAGACTTTCAAGTTCTCCTTGTTCTTGGACAAGTGCTTTAATGGCTGGGCTGCCACACATGAGCTCTCAGGCTCTCTGTTCTTCCCTGGCAGTTTAGGTCCCAAGTGCCAAAATGCCCTGTGGGCTATCAGGGATGAGACACCATTTCCGTATGTCCCAAGAGGATGTCTTGGGACATGGACTTCCGAAATCTCTGCTGACTTCAATTTGTGAGAGGCACTGGCTGTGTAGTTTTACTGGATCTAAAAGATAAACTTGCATGTATGTTCCTAAAATGTTCTTTTGGATCTGGTGCTAGAAAGTTCTCTTATGAAACAACCTAAAAATCTGCTCCCACACTTGCATCTGCAGCAAATGGATTGCATATTTCCTTCCACATAGCCAAAAATTAGGCTTTCAAAGTATTAAAAGATTGAGGCTGCAATTGGAGTAGTGGCCAATTTGAACTCTTGAAAAACATGTGTTGCTTACAAAGTTCTAGAAAAGTAGTGTTGAAATGTGTCACTGGTGACATATATCAGTTCTGTGAGTTAAATCTATTGAAAACAAGTCCCTTTATGTAAGGAAACCTGAGTTGGGATTTTTTTCATTTTAAATAAACAAGTCCTTGCTTCATCTTCTCATCTTGCCCTTAAGAACTCATTATTGGCTTTGTAGTTAGGAATGATCATCAAGGTTTGCATAGGCCAAAGAAATGCCAAGGAATGGATCCTAAAGAACTGAGTTTTATGAAGGTGTGGGAATGGTTCTTCCCTGCCTGAGGTTTTGAGCTTCCCAGTAAATAGATGCTGCTATGACTAAAAATGCTCTGACTCTTCAGTGCTTCTCAGAGAACTTATACAAACTTTTTGCATGCTTAAATCTCAAGAATAAGAGAATTAAAAGAAAGCCTAAAATCTGAGATCCAAGTGATCTTTCTGAAAATACTGTCATGAAGATTTTATAAAACACTGTTTCAGAAGGTGTAGGTGCAGCTGTGCTCGTGGTCCTCTGCTGCCACTTGAGCCTGGCTGTGCTCCTTGCCAGCTCTCTGGTACCAGCTCTTCCTTCAGGCTGTTCAGTGAGCTGGTTGAACTCACCACACCAGCACAAAACTAATGTGAACAACAAAAAACTCCATCATATTCTTTTCAAATGAAGAAACTGAGTCAGTTTGGAGTACAAGAACCAGCACAAAAGAATGGGTGGAACAGCCTTGTTGACAGGGCTGGAACATGAAATGGAAAGAGAAGGAAGGAGGAGCAATGGGGGAGCCATTCCTGACATATTCAAGCTGTTAGGCAGACTAAGTGCTCTGTTAAATAATCCCTGAGCAGCTGGTTGTCACTTGGACAAAGCCTGGCTTTGTCCATTCTTGTTTTCACAGACAGAACATTGAGAATGAGTTTGACAAGGACTGTGGTGAATTCAAGCTCCATTGTTCCTTTGTTATGTCAATCCTTCTTATCCTTGAGCACAAAAAGCTTTTGAGCATGTTCTCCCTGGAACATGAGCCACCCCAAGGTGAGGTGACTGAATGTGGAGAGTGCACTTCACATGGAGAGATGCTATATGATCCTTTTCTGAGGTGTGTAACTCCAAAAATCATTACACTGGTTGTTTGGGACACACTTGTCCTCACTAATGTGGTCATCTATACCCAAACTACACATGGAACACAGACACTTTTTATGCTACTAATTATAATTTATAAATTGTTACATACTGGTGATGTCACAGTATAATTTAAGATGATTAAAAGCCTTAAGGTTTTATGTGGGAAATTCCCATATTTCTGTGATGTGAAAATTCCAAACATGAGTTATGGGAAGAAAATCCCTTTCAGTGAGAACAGAAGTTGTGTTGTTAGCGTGGGAAGAGGGCATAAAGAGACCCAACAACAAATAACTCTAAATTACTTGGCAGCTGCAAACCAGTCCAGCAATGTGGACTTTGCTGTCTTATCAGTTATGATACTGAAGGAGTTAATACATGAAGTTTTTAAATCTTAAAAAGACTCTAAACTATATTTAGAAATCGCTCCTGTTATCGAGGTACAGAGACAAATTTCCCATGGCATTATTTCTAAAAAGGAAATGCTTAAATGACCCAGTGGTGGTCTTTGCAGAGGCAAAGAAAAGCCCCTGTGTTCATTAATAACACAAATCATTGCTCTGTGCACAGATTTTGTCCAAAGAAAGGCAAGACCATAACTGTTTTGAAATCTATATTTAAAAATAGTTCTGGTTCTATTAGTCATTGTCCCAATCCAGAAATAAAAGGAGTTTATGTTTAACTCTTTATCTACTCCATTGATTTACTTAAATTGCTGAAGAAAAACAGGAGGAAAGATTTTTGTTAGTAAGATTACTGCAGAAATGTCTGTTGACAGAAATAGTCCAATACTGAAGTTGAGCAGTAATAATTAAGAGGATGTTTATAAAATAAGTTGTGTTTATAGAGTATTTACTTTTTATGGAGAGCTGCTTGACTCTTGTTACTGAATGATCCATGAGGATTTTTAGCTTGTAGTTCATCTACAGTTCATTCTTTCCTGGGTTGTTTTTAATTACTTTGCTGATATGTACTTAAGAACCCCCACCAACTTGAATACCAAATTACAGAAAGTTGACACTGAGTGATTACTGTAGAGTTGTTGTTGTTGTTGTTGTAGAGTAGATTTTCATACATGGCTATAACTGAGAAAAAGTGTTATTGTCAACTGTAACATTTT